TCTGGCAATTAGGGCATCTTATTTCTCCTCCACATGACTTCTCAGCCTCCAGTAGTCTAAACGCTGCTTTTGCACGTAATGGTGGAAACATACCAGGAAGGCAAAAGTAGAAGCTACACGGCTTCTTGAGTCCTCTCAAAATTTGCAGAGTCACTTTTACCACATTTTCTTGTCAGTGCAAGTCACTAGGCCAGTCTAGATTCACAGAATTTGGAAATAAGCCACATGTGGATAAGGAGTTGCATGAGATTGGGCCTGTAAGTTGTCATACTACACCTGGGGCTGTTGCCTCCTCCACATGGTTGCTCATCTGTATAAAGGAGCTGTCCAGGAGATACAATGTGCTGCAGTATGTTTCTCAACTTTTGATTATAGTATTTATAAACAAACGATGTTAGTAAAAAAAATAAATAGGTGGTCAAAATTTAATGAAAATGTAGAAACCACTAGAATAATGTAAGTACTCAAGAGATACAAATTACTACTCATTTAAAGCTCAACTAAGGAACAGGAAATAGAATGAATATATGAATAATTTTAGTAATTTGTCACCAAGCAAGTGATTTAGTTCTAAAAAAAGGGAAAGGAGTTAGTTTTTACCATGTACCCACAACATGTCTTGCACTTGGCTTTTGACATAATTAATTTATTCTTCATTACAGTTTTATGAGATGGACTCTCATTTTTTCCCTCATTTTTGCATAAGAAAGCTAAGGTTCAGTGATTTCAAGGAACTTACTTAAGGTTGCATGATAAATAATGTGCCTATAAGTTGAACTTTACTTTTGACTCCAAAGCCAATACTAGATAGTCTCATTCAGCTTCCCAGCGTAAGGCATTTCTGCATCATAAGAATGTAAAATTGATGAATGTTTGTTCTAGAAGGTACATTAATATATTAATTTCTGTGCTGCATGTTACCACCTTACAGTATTTAAATGTGGCAATATTCAGTTGAGTGATTCTACATGTATAATGAAGAAAGGAAGAAATGTTGCTGTGTATTTTAAGTCTACAGTTGTAAGCCTTAGCAAATGAAGTAAAGAATTTTTATCGAAGACACTAAATACTTCTTTGCATGATTTAGCTCTGACATATTGCTTTTCTACAATTACATGTTCTAGTTATAGTACAGAAATAACTAATAAAAGACATAGTAAAGAAATATCTTTTTTATATCCTAGAGTTTTATAAATTGAATTTGCTTGCCTAATTTAGGAAGCGCTATAGAAATGAAGGGAGTCCAAGCCCTCGGCAGTCACCAAAGCGTCGGCGTGAACATTCTCCCGACAGTGACACCTACAACAGTGGAGATGATAAAAGTGAGCAGAGTCTGTTTCTGTGTCTCTATATTCATATTCATTTATTACGATGAGACCATTTTTTGACATTAGTAAGAACTGATGAATTAAGATTTTTAAAAGTTTCCTTGCTCTGTTGCCTCTAAATATCTCCTTATGTGACTAAAGTATGTGTTAAAAATATAGTCATGTTATCACAATGGCACTGTCATTTCCTACTTATTATAGTTAAGCCATAAAGCTATAGTTTTATTTTTTCTAAAATTATTACCATTTAAAAAGTTTTAAAATGGAAAATGAGAGATTGGCTTATTATTATTTATATGTAATGTGCAATGCTTATTAACCCGGTGAACGTGTCATTACTTTTATCTTTTTGTGTAGATGAAAAACACAGACTCTTGAGCCAGGTTGTACGACCTCAAGAATCTCGTTCTCTCAGTCCATCACACCTTACAGAAGACAGGCCATGTAGATGGAAAGAGGAGGATCGTAAACCAGAAAGAAAAGAGAGTTCAAGGCGCTATGAAGAGCAAGAACTCAAAGAGAAAGTTTCTTCTGTAGATAAACAGAGAGAACAGACAGAAATTATGGAAAGCTCAAGAACACGTGCACAAGACATTATAGGACACCACCAGTCTGAAGATCGAGATACATCTGATCGAGCTCATGATGAAAGCAAGAAAAAAGCAAAAATTCAAAAGAAACCTATTAAGAAAAAGAAAGAGGATGATGTTGGAATAGAGAGGGGTAGCATAGAGACAACATCTGAAGATGGTCAAGTATTTTCACCAAAAAAAGGACAGAAGAAGAAAAGTGTTGAAAAAAAACGTAAAAGATCCAAAGGTGATTCTGATATTTCTGATGAAGAAATAGCCCAGCAAAGTAAGAAGAAAAGAGGCCCGCGGACTCCCCCTATAACCTCTAAAGAGGAATTGATTGAAATTTCCAATGATAAAGATGACACCCTAGAGGATCTTCAGAAAAAAGAAGATACAGCATTCAGTGACTGGTCTGATGAGGATGTGCCTGACCGTACAGAAGTGACAGAACCAGAGCATGCTGCCACTGCTGCTACTCTTGGTAGTACCCCTTCTCCTCTATCTTCTCTTCTTCCTCCTCCGCCTCCTGTGGCTACTGCCACTGCTGCAACTGCCCCTGCTAATCTTTCCACTACTGCTGCAGCCACCTCCTTCAGCACATCTGCCACCACCATTTCTGCTTCTGCCACCCTCACCAATACCACCAGTACCACTTTTGCCAATGAAGACTCACATAGAAAATGCCACAGAACACGAATGGAGAAAGTAGAGACACCTCATGTTACTATAGAAGATGCACCGCATCGCAAGCCAGTGGATCAAAAGAGGAGTAGCAGCCTTGGGAGCAATCGGAGTAATCGTAGTCATACATCTGGTCGTCTACGCTCCCCATCCAATGATTCTGCCCATCGAAGTGGGGATGACCAAACTGGTCGAAAGAGGGTACTGCATAGTGGCTCAAGAGATAGAGAAAAAACAAAAAGCCTGGAAATCACCGGAGAAAGAAAATCTAGGATTGATCAGTTAAAGCGTGGAGAACCCAGTCGAAGTACTTCTTCAGGTAATAAAATTGAATTATAATCTAGTCTGCGTTACCTGTGTTAGTATATTTTATACAAATTGTTAATTTAATACTAAATTGGTTACTTTATATGCTGCCTCAAATTTTATGGAACTTAAAAAAAAAAGCTTAGCTGTCCCATTAAAATGTCACCTGTTATTACTTTAATACCAACATTATA